AATCTGACGCGATCCAGCTGCATGCAGAAGTCTCTGGAGTTGGCTTGAACATGGTCTCGGAAAGTATCCCAAAAGTACTTCTGAATCCTGATAAAACCCCTTGTAGTGGGTTTATAATCCACGAGGTTGAGATGTGAGGAGTAGTCTCGAGCCAGGTTTCTGCCACGTGCTGCGGGCATTCGCGAGAAAGCGGGCAAAGTCAAGCATACAGCTTGCTTCACCGCCATCACCATCAGCATGGTTTATCATCATACGCCGAACGCTTGTGATTTCCAAAGCTCTTCGTATTCAGATTTTAACATCCGCCATCACTGCAACCGCCACGCTCCTAAACTACCATTCATGTTCGTCATCACCACTACCACCGTCATCAACAACATCATAGTCATCCTCTTCTTCCTGATCATGGTTGTATCACCATCACCATCACCATCATGACCATCGTCACGACCGCCGTCAACGTGATGATCAGGCCCTGGGTCAACATAATCATGAACTACATGAACAACCACAACAGCAGAAGTAGTATTCACTTGCAGAGAAGAGTGAGGTCCAGCGCCGGATCTCAGCTCTGCCCTGCTGCCATCAGCGCAACTGTGATGACTGCGACGAATATGTGCCTTGCCTGCGTAACGACTGGCCGTGGGCCAAGCACGGGTATCTTCACATCGGGTACACCTAAGCCCTGCATACGTCCCGGTAGGGGAAGAAGCAGACTTAGAAAGCAAAACGTAGTAAGATTAGCTTAAGCCATACACCCCAACCCCAAGAACCCCAAAACCCCGGTGCGTGTCAGAATCGAGGAGCACTGGTTACACGGCAGACATCCTCCTCTTCCACAAGTTGCCCTGCAAAGCACTGGTCATGCAGTCGTTTCTTAAGGGTTCCTTGATAGGCTTATGAGCTTTGGAGTTTAGGGTTTAGGGTCCCTTGTTGTCAGGGAGTCGACGCTTCTTCAGGGTAGTGCAAAAAAAGCCATACCACAAGAACATGTGAAGGCGTTACCACAACCGTGTACAATCCTGACAACGACTTCTTACAGAGCCTATGAAGACCTCAAGCCCTAAAACCCTGAGACGCGGAATTAGTGATAACATCCCCTTCTGGTCCCTGATCTAATCATGGTCTACTCTACCCGAATGCCCCATTCTAATTGTTAAGGCTTCTATTTTACAACCCTAGACACCCCTTGTATAAACCCGTACAGAACCCGAATGCAACCCCTGAAAGGAACCCTACCAGGAGCTTGACTCAGGTCCCTGCACTTAAACCCCAAACCCTAAACACCAAACCCTAACACCCTGATACTGTGAACCCTTGAACCTTATACCAGCCCCACAAACTGCCGGGATGAGGACATAAACCCTCCAGAAGCCGATGTAGAACGCTCACCCCGCAACCGCTGGAGCTCTAAAACCCCTGCAAAACCCTAAACCCTGAACCCTGAACCCTAAGCCCTGAACCCCAAAACGAGGATTCCGAACCTGACGACCATCTTGGGAGCTGCGACGCTGGGCTGAGAACCGGCAGGTTTAGGGTTTTAGGGGTTTTAGGGTTTTGGGGTTTTAGGGTTTTAGGGTTTAGGGTTTAGGGGTTAGGGTTTAGGGTTTAGGGTTTTAGGGTTTAGGGTTTACGGTTTGGGGTTTAAGGCCGGCTCAAGGTTAAGGGCTTGGGGTTGAGGGATTAGGGTTTGGGGACTTAGTCAGGTTAGAATCTTAGAACTAGGAGAACTCGAGTTCTGGGCACTTCTGACCCCCACTGTAGCCGACTTGCCAACTATACGAGTCCCTTGGTCCTTTCAGTATCGCCGAGGGCAGCAGCTGTGGGTATACAAGCTTCCTGCCAGGGTTCTAAGGTGCTTCAGGGTTGAGAACAACCCTGAAGTTCCCTGGGGCTTAAACCGCCAATAGACATAAGCCCCTAAACGCGAAACCTTAAAACCCTAAACCCTAAAGCCTAAATCCTAAACCCCTGAATTCTAAACCCCTAAACCCTTAAACCCACGCGAAACCCCGAAGTGCAAACTCCTGTAGACGAGGATGATGCTGCTGGCGGTGGTGACCATGGCTGTGGCCAGGCTGGCACTCCGCTCCCAGAAGCTGTAAAGGGTTTTAGGGCTGAGAGTTGGGCCTAAGGCATAGTAATCGTCTTCCCTGGACTGGTTCCCTGTGGTTCCCTTCGCGGCTTGATGTCATTTGCAAAAAGTAAGGCCTATAACTGACACTCGAAAACCCTTAACCCCAAACCCTAAAAGATGCTTCTGATCATATTGATTACGATAATTAAGTAGTAGTGGTAGTCGTCGTCGTCGTGGTGTTAGTAGTAGGTGTAGTAGGTGTAGTAGGTGTAGTAGGTGTAGTAGGTATAGTAGGTGTAGTATGTGTAGTAAGGTGGTGGTAGTGGTAGTGGTAGTGGTAGTGGTAGTGGTAGTGGTAGTGGTAGTGGTAGTGGTAGGGGTAGTGGTAGTGGTAGTGGTAGTGGTAGTGGTAGTGGTAGTGGTAGTGGTAGTGGTAGTGGTAGTGGTAGTGGTAGTGGTAGTAGTAGTAGTAGTAGTAGTAGTAGTAGTAGTAGTAGTAGTAGTAGTAGTAGTAGTAGTAGTAGGTAGTAGTAGTAGTAGTAGTAGTAGTAGTAGTAGTAGTAGTAGTAGTAGTAGTAGTAGTAGTAGTAGTAGTAGTAGTAGTAGTAGTAGTAGTAGTAGTAGTAGTAGTAGTGTAGTAGTAGTAGTAGTAGTAGTAGTAGTAGTAGTAGTAGTAGTAGTAGTAGTAGTAGTAGTAGTAGTAGTAGTAGTAGTAGTAGTAGTAGTAGTAGTAATGACGACTGCAAGCCGAGCGGTGCATTGGAAGAGTCGAATCACCTTCGACATGCTGTTCAGTCCAAGGGGAGCTTGACATTTCTTCAGAGAAACCACATACCCCTTTAGGGGTTAAGAGTTGAACACTCCTAAGCCCCAAGCCGAAACACGAAGCCAGGCTGCCGCCCCGAAGTTCAATGCCAAGCGCTGAAGAGCCAGTCCCGGATCAGAGGAGCAGAGCTTTGGCATTCCAGGGGCAGTTTCTGTTAGGTGGGTATCTTTCTTTTTAGGGGTTCAGGGTTTGGGTTATGGTACAGCCGCAGCAGCAGGAGCAGCAGCATCATGCCTCGGGCGAAGAATCAGATTAAATAGACACCAGGAGGGAGCGACATATGGATTTCTGGACAGTGCCCTGAACAGCCACAAGTACTCAAGGAGTCATACTCGGACCCCTAAGGATGTGACTCTACGAGGTTCCCTTTGTTTGCGCCTAATATGGCCCTTACATTCCTTTAGAGAATCTTTAAAGAGGGTCCCCAACCCAAGGGTACAACCTTAGGGGTCCAAGGTAGGGTCCTATGAATTTCGCAGAGAAATTGCAAGCACTCCATCGCTCAGAACTTTGTGTCTGCATGCGACCACGGAATCCTTGCAAAGCAAGCGCCCACTCTAAGAAGAGCCCTCAGCAGCCATCCCCCAAAAATCGCAACCCAGGATCGACAACTACCGTTGGCTCGCGAGAGAGCCTGGTCAGCTTTGTCGCATCCGAGTTCGCGGAGCGGCAGGCTGTTTGTGGATTTTTCTTTGTACAGTCATCAACTCATCAGAAGCCTTGTGTTCCAGGCTGAGGTGCTGTTGTCATCCCATGTCATCTCTTCCCAAGCCCCACAACACCAGGAATGCGGTTGGTCATCTTTGTGCACGAACTGCACCATGTTCGCCTTTCAGAACTCCCACCAATGGGTTTCGCGCAACACCATGAAGAGCAAGTGTTTTGACTTACAAGTTCTTGCAATGGGTCTGCCCATGATTATACTACGTCTCCAAGATTTAAAATCATGGGGACGGTCATGGTCATGGTAATGACCTTCATCGCCAGCATGAACCTCATCATCGTCAACGCTCACAGGGCATTTTCGTCTTTCGCAGTCATCCTCATTTCTGTTGCTGTTGCCACTAGCACATCGTCATTACCGCCATCATCATCGCGGCGGAAGTAGCCCCGCAGTCCCCGTTCTTCTCTGCTTGTTGCAGGACTTCGCCAGCCAGGCTGGATGCACTTCCTTTCCAGTGATTCCCATAACCTCAACTTGGTGTCCATGAAGAAAGATCGCGATATGTCCAGGAATGTTCCTGAAGTAAGGATGTTGGAGTCTCTGTCGGCTTTGCTCTTCAGAAAATGGCCAGGGCTCGCTAGCACATCGAATTGCATCTGCGGGAGATGCCTTTCTGAGTTGGCTAGCGTTGAACATAGGGTTAGGGGTATCATCTCCTTGGGGAACTCGTAGAATTGCCTTAGTTGGCCAGTTACTTTGTTTGCCGGATCGGCATCCTTCAGCATGTCCACAAGTTTCATCGAAGCGCAATGATATTCAAACAGGAGCTCACTTTGTGACCACTTACGCAGTGAATGGTACTTTGTGCTTCAGGTCATTCGACAGCGAGCACACACTGCATCCACGCTTGCGACGGCGACGCAGTTGGGAGCTGCGTCAGCCTAAGCGGCAAGCGGCCAGCAACTTCTCGCATGGGCTAATGTTCGAGCTGCTCCTGCCTGGGTGTAGCCTGCAGCAGTGACGTGGCCGTGTTGACTTCTGACACTTAACGCAGAAGCATGGAGTCGAAGGCCTCTATGCGCTGCACATTGTACAGTTTCTCTATTTCTATTGTAAAGCATGCGGTACAGAGGCATGGCGGCAGGTGCCCGGATGACCTCCGGCGCTCCGCGCAAAAGCTCTCTGATGAAGCGCTCACTGGCGGTGGTGGTTGGGTGTGGCTGTGACGAAGGTGAAGGTGATGTTAGCATGGAGACAGTTTTCAAGCCTCGTCGCAGGCTTCATCATCCGGACGTTGATTGCGTATCATGTACTGAATTGCTGATATGGCTGGTGGCTGACGTCCTGTCGCCCCATACTTTCGCTTTGGCTCAGCTTCAGTTCCAATGTAGCTGAACAGTGGATGGTGCTAACATCCATTCCGTCTTCTTGCCATGGCAACACCGTCAACACCGTGTTCCTTGCTGTTTTCCTTCGAGTGGCTGCTGGTTCTTGTCATCACAGCCACTGAAGTGACGGGTAAGTCGACATCGTTTTCCGATCAAGACATCTCGAAGTTGGGGTGGCCATTCCTGAGTGACTACCGAGACCCGAACATGGCTTGGGATTTGTCACAGAAGGTAAGGTTCTTCTTGCTCTATTCTGCATTCTGGCTCTGTGTTGTTGCGTCCGTCTACTTCCTCAGCGTGCGGCAGACAGCTACCCGGAGTCCTCCAAAGGATGCAGAGCTTGGGCTCTTGGAGTCAGCCTTCGGCCCAAGGACACCCTACCCTGAAGGGGAACTGGTCCACGAGCTCTTCTTGCAGCGTGCCGAACAGGCCAAAACTCGGACCGCCTTGGTTGCGCCATTGCCAGGCAAAACTCAGAACATTTCCTACGCAGAGCTGCAGGCAGCCGTGCAGCAGCTGGCGGCCGATTTGCAGGGCTTGGGCCTACGGCCTGGTCTTCTTGCGGCTCTTTGCATGGAGCGGAGCTGTGCGCAAGTGGTAGCAATCCTTGGGACGCTTGCCAGCGGCGGAGGTTTTGTGCCGATTGATCCAAGTGCCTCGAGAGAACGGATCCTTTCGCTCCTCGAGCATAGCCAGGCCTCGGCGCTTTTGGCGGATGGCCGCGAGGACCGCTGCTTCGAGCATCTGGCGTTGTTGGCCGGCATTCCACTGCTCTCTGCCCGAATTCCAGAAGCCGGGACCCTGTCCCTGTCTTTTTGCAGAGCTCCTCAGGCGAAGCCGATGCAGCCCCAGATTCCTCGGAGGCCACAGCCATCAGATGCTGCAATGCTCATCTACACATCTGGCACGAGTGGCACCCCGAAGGGAATCATTTATGATCACCAGCATCTTCTTCATGGCGCTTGGTTTTGGGCAGAAGAGCACAGCATCACATCGAGCTCTGTGCAACTGTTGAAGTCACCTTACTTCTGGGCAGTCATGGAGTGGGAGTTCTTTCCAGTCTTGCTTCGAGGGGGATCGCTGGTTGTCGCTAGCCGCGACGGACATAAAAACCCAGAGTACATGGCCAAGCTGATCCAGCAGCATTGTATCAATGTCCTGATGATCACTCCGTCAGTCTTGGACCTCCTTGTGGATGCTCATCAGCTTCATCCTGACTCGCTCCTGGCCCCACTCGAGCACATCACGACCGTAGGGGAGGCTTTGCCGACTGCTCTGGCCAATCGTGTGGCCTCTCTTCCAGACCTCCGTGCAAGCCTCCGCTGCGCGGCTGCGCTTTGAGTCAGGGGGCGCGAATGGAAGGGGAAGCACGGAACCAGCTGAGGTAACTTCTATGGCGCATCGGAGAGCTCCTGCACTATCTACCAGGCGGGCCCCCTCCCCGTGCGTGACTTGAGTTCAGACATAGCGACTTGAGAGCAAGCTTGAGCAACAATCCAAAGTCCTCAGAGTCCGGGAGATTGGCAGGTGCCGAAGGAAGGCGTCAACGAGACACACTTCCCAAGTCATGTACCAGCTGGTCTCCCACAACCCTACGCCAACGTGCAGCCTGGGGGCATTCAACTCTGCGATTCTGCAGCCTCAAATGGGTTCTCACCAAGTCTACTGTAGTATGTTCTAATCGACTCTAGTACGCTTGTTCATCCTACAGTACCATAAACGACAGATCAGCAACACATCAGTGACGGTTTCAATATGTGTCACTGGCCTTATAGCCAGTGCTCTTGTTCATGCCGCTTTATTCTTGCGACGTGTATATTCTAAGATACTTGACTACTTTCTAACTGTGTGCAATGGCTACAATGCACACTATAGTATATCTAGGGCCTAGGGTACACCAATGACTGTACAGTACCGTCTCTGTTTTGTAGACCTGAAGGCTCAAGTCCCTCCATTTTCAGCTTCCTTAAAGTCTCAAAGATGAGTCATATGCTGGAGCTCGATGACCCACAAAGGAGTTTTTTTTGGAACTTTCATGATTGAGACAGAGTGCACGTTGAGGTTCCTCATGGTGCCCGGAGAACGGCCTCTCAGGACTGCTTCGCCAGGTGAGCCGGGAGAGCTTCTCGGCCAAGAACGTTTCGAAGAATACTTCGTATAGTAACATGTACCCTGCCATACAGTCATCGCATCATTCTTTATGATATTATTCTACAGCGCACAATTTTATGAAACTGTGGTATATTAAAGCGCCGTACAGGTTGTACACCAGATAAGTCTAAGCGGCCTTATAGTTGCGTGCCTTGCATGGTCCTGTAGTAGATTCTCGTACGAAAGTACCCCTGTGCACTAAAGTCGTGCGGGTAAAGGATTTGCTTCGGCGGCGTCCTGGCTCACGGGTATTTGGGCCTCCCCGAGCTGATGGCCGAGAAGCCACCTGGCTGTTTTCAGTGGTTCGTTGTGGAGGCGATCCATGTTAGCAGGCTTCAGGCAAGGCCATTACAGACTTCATGCTCAAGGGGGCTGGAGTTGTTGATTTACGGGTATCCTCCTTGTATAGTCATGTTGTGCAGACCAGGACTACGACCTGCCGTCACCATTTTGGCTCAAGATGAAAACAAGCCCGTGCGTGAAGGGCTTTGACTTGAGGGCTGTGGTTCCCTTGGGGTTCCCCTTCCCTCTTCCCTGTTCTTTCCCTAACATCGTGTCATCGCTGTTTTGGGTTAGGAAAACTGGTTATCAGGTCCGTATTGCTTTCATAGCTTAGACCCTAAGTGTAGCTGATTGAGAATGGATGGACACTGAGCAAGAAGGCGCTTTTAAGCCTCGAGGTATCCGGAGCGGTCGCTCGGCAAAGCGAAAGCGAGAAGCTTATCAGAGGGCGCAGTGTATTTGTATCCTGAGCGTTACAGCGATCCTTTGGAGGTTCCTGTGGTGCATCAAGGAGGTCAGAGTCGACCTTTATACTCTCTGCCGACCTGGGAGCCGCTTTACACCTCGGACGAAGAGGAGGTTGAGGTGGTTCGAGTGATATCTGAGCCTTCGTCTTCCTCCTGTTCCGAAGAGACTTGGTCCATTTGGGAAGGCCTCGACTGCATCGACTCCTGCGCCTGCTTTTCACAGACTGGCGAAAGCTTCACCGGTTCCGCCTCCTGCAAGTCCGGCTAGCCGCCTCCTGCAAGTCCGGCTCCTAAGACTCCGCCCAAGCTACCTCCTGCGAAAGGTGCAGGCAAAGGCAAAGTGTCGGGCAAGGGCAAGGGCAAAGGCAAAGGCAAGGGTGAGATCAGCGAGCCAGAGGTTGTCAATCTTCCTGGTAAATCTGCCATTGTCAATCCACACACTGGAGAAATCAGCCACTTGGATCGAGCATCTGCGAATCGGATTTCCAAGGCTCTGGTTTTGGACTTCCATAACATTCTGGATCGCTACTTTCCTGGAGGCCGACGTCGGCCAGTGGGTATCTCTTATCCCAACAAGAGGCCGGTCTTTATACCGGAGATCTTTGCACTGCTTGAGCGACTTGCAAACGTGGCTGAGGAAACCGGCGTTTCCATCATCCTGTGTTCGCACGTGCATGCAGAGGACACAGAAGCTTGGGTGAGGGATACGCTGGCGAATTCGGAGAGCGAGTTCAACCTTCCCGTTTTCTCCTTCGGTGTCCTCACTCGTGCAAGGACAGGTCCTACAGGGAAGTACCAGACACTCCAAGCCGTGAAGCCGAACATCCCTTATATGTTCGTTGACGACAACGTTGACATCATCGTTGAAGCTGAGCGGGATCATCGTTGCTCTGGTGTTCACATCCAACTCCCTCGCAGGGACGCGCGTCCCACAAAGCGCTCGCGCGCCAGCGTTTTTGAGGCTGAGGATCGCATTACCCGTTGGATGCGTGCTTCGTGAATCACTGCTCTTCTGATTGGTTTGCATTGACTCTACGACTTGCGGAAGAAGTTTGGCTGGTCCAAGCGCCTCTCTCCCTGCGTGCCTTCCTTTTGCCTCTGCTTTGTGCAGCTTGGTTGAGCTCGCTCGAGACCTACCAATCCTTGATGCGCAAAAGATTCTGAGCTTCAACTGGATTGCGATCATGTCGTCGCCCTCAGATCCTAGCAATCAAGCTAGCTCGGTACTTGACCTATCGAGTGCCTCTGCCATGGCATTGCCAGGTGGTGTCGGTTCTGATAGTGGTTCGGTTACGAGTAGTTCTGCGGTTGAGCTCCGTGAAAGGTCCCCTCCTCTGACTAGACGAGCTTTGTCTGGACCGCGCAGCACTCGTGAGCGCTCAGACCCGTGCCCGAATCTAACCGCTCAAGCCTCGTACACGCAGAATATTCTGAACGTGGGAGCATCCCTGCAAGAAGTTCTAGATGCCCAACGTTTGGCTGCAGCACACGCAGCGCAGCAAGTAGCTGATCAAGCCAAGCAACTCCATGCCGTTAGGCTAGAACAAGTTGAGAATGTGGCTAGAGGTTTGGTTGAAGCCACTGTTGAGCAAATGCGTGAGCAGTTGCAACAGTACGAACAGCGTTACGATGAGATCCTTCATCAGGGTCGAATCTTGGAAGAACAGCTATCCGTAGCTAAGGCCGAGCTAAGCAAGGTTGAAGCAGAACTTCAGGTTGCTCGTGCAGGGTACCAAGAGCTTGAAGCCGGCCTAACAAGCAAGCTGCCGAAATAATAACAATTTGCTGAACTTCCAAAACACCAGCTACGAGTTGAGTTGCAAGTTAAAGGCCGCGAGATTCAGAGACTCCGTCAGGCTGCTCTAAGCGCCACGAGTCCTCAGTCTTCGCCTCCAAAGCCTGCGCCTCGCCAGCAAGATGTGGGGTTTAGGGTTTAGGGTTTAGGGTTTAGGGTTTAGGGTTTAGGGTTTAGCCGCCAGCGATTGCATCAGGTGCTTGTTCTGGTGGGTCTAGTTGGGTACATATCGGTTCTGATGGCCAGCAAAACGGTGGATAACTGAAGGGAGGGGGGGGGGGGGGGGGGGGTAGCTCACACACATATATATATATATATATATATATATGGTAACCCCCCCAGTTATCCACACCTTTTCTGCTTGTTTTGTGTTTTTTCTTGTTCTGGCACTGCGTGTTTCGTTTTTCGTTCGTAATTTGTTTTCTTTGCCCCAGCGTGTTGATCATATCTTCCTTTTTCCTTTATTTATCTCTTGTTGATTATCTGTATGTTTATATTACGCCAGTAGAGACGTTTCTAGAGTGCATAGTGTACTTAAATTTCAAGCCTCAATGGTCAAGCACGATGAGGGACAAGGAGTATTGAAGTTCAATGCTCCGGATTGAACTTCAATACTCCGGGATTCAAGATTCAAGATTCAAGGTTCTCGGGAAAAGTTTCCCCGGGATCTTGAATCCAGGGTCCCGAAGTATTGAAGTTCAATCCGGGGTATTGAACTTCAATACTCGGGACCCTGGATTCAAGATCCCGGGGAAACTTTTCCCTGGAACCTTGAATCTTGAATCTTGAATCCCGGAGTATTGAACTTCAATCCGGAGCATTGAACTTCAATACTCCGGGATTCAAGATTCAAGATTCAAGATTCAAGATTCAAGGTTCAAGGGAAAAGTTTCCCCGGGATCTTGAATCCAGGGTCCCGAGTTTTGAAGTTCAATCCAAAGCCTTGGGGTTTTTCGGAGATTATCTCTAATACCCTGACGGGGTTATCTATAGGGTTTAGCCCCTGTCAGCATTACCCGAAACCCTTGAGGGTCAGAACCCTAAAACCCTTGAGGGCTCTAAAGATTAGAAGGCTGTAGCCCTAGAGGTGCTGAAACCATAATTAGAATATTTAAATGGGCCGGGCCGTTTCCCAAAATAGCTATTTTGTTTCAAAATTTCAAGGATTTGCAGGAATGTACGGATTTTTAAAAATTCAAAAGGTCCGGGCATTTCCCAAATAATTTGTTGTTTCAAGATTTACGATTTTAAAGTATCTAAGTGGCCTTTTACATTCCTTAACATCCTTAAAATGTTGAAAGCCAGAGGCCTCTCAATATTTTAAGGAGTTTACAGGGTTTTCAAGAATTGAAGGCTCTTTGTAAATTCTTTAAAATCCTTGAAGCTTTAACAGGGGAAGCAGAACCATCAAATAGTACGTAAAGGTGAGTCGTACACAGGGTTATAAGGTTCTAATCCTATAGGTAATGCCTCAACCTTAAACCATAAACATGTGAGCCCTTATAGGCCTCTAGGGTTTAAACCCTATCGGGCTCACCCCGTGAGGGCTTTAGAGATGGGATTGAAAGGTTTTTCAGAAACTAAGGTCTGGGCATGTATACCTTCAGAGCCTATAGGGCTACAACCTTTGAGGCTTGTAGAGCCCCATCATAGGCTTTCAGGGTTCTGACCCAAAAGGGCTTGGGATTTAGATTCAAATGCCTAAGCCGTAAGCCCTTACGGTTTATCTGGGCTTATAAACCTTTAAGACCCCTAAACTTTTGAACCCGATACATGGTGTGGGTACTTATTCTGCTTATTCTTTGCATTTCCACCAAGCCCTATAAACAGAGGCATAACCATGTGGGATTTTAGCTTTAGGGAATTAAGCCTCAAGCCTGAGAGGGTTTTTCAGGCTCTAATCCTATAGGCAATGCCTAAACCTAAAGCCCGAAACTGTTGAACCCTATAGGCCTTTTGGGTTTAAACCCTATCGGGCTAACCCCGTGAGGGCTTTAGAGGTACCTTGAAAACCCCTAACCTTTAGACTTTATGGGATTTAAAGGTTTGAAAACCTAAGGTCTGGGCATGTATAGCTTCAGCGCCGCGGTTAAAACTTTTCAGCCTTGTAGAGCCCTATAGGCTTTCAGGGTTCTGACCCTAAAGGGTGCAGGTTTAGATGCCTAAAGCGTAAACCCTTAAGGTTTAAACTCTATGGGCTTAGGTTTAAATACCTAGATTTTAAAATCTTCAAACCTATTAACCGTGTAGGATTAAAGGTTAAGGGTTTAGGTGTAATTGCTTAACCTTGAAACCCTATGGATCTAAAGGTTCAGGTTCAGGTTTAACCCTAAACCCTATCGGCTTTAAGCCCTGAACCCTATAGGGTTTCGGTGCCTCTCTTTTTATAAGACTTAAACCTGAACCGATAGGGGTTTAGAGATGTAGCCCTGAAAAAAAGCCTTTGCAAAAACCAGGGAGCGCAGCGGAGCGGAAGGGAGGGGAGGGGAGAAGGTCGCTGTGCCCAGTGTTGACATCTCAAGGATTGCATGCATTTACGTTATGTAGGGGATTGGGCTATTGGAGGAGGGGGTGGGGGAGTTCAGGGGTCACCGCGGCCCGTGAACGATCTAATTGGCTCGCAACCACAAAAAGCGTGGATAACCACAAAAAAGCGTGGATAACCCGGGGGGGGGGGGGGGGGGGGTGGGTGGCTTAAATAGGGTTTATTTGGAAGCTGGCACTCGGGTTTTGTTATTACCAAACCCATTCCGACGAGGGTACGAGGCTGTCACGTGGGAAACTGGGAGTCTATGTCTTTTCGGGGTCGCCAGACATGTTCTTAGATTGGAAGAAAACTTGAACCCAAAAATCTTAGGGACCAGGGCTTGCGATTTGGCTCTTTGGAAGAAAACTTGAACCCAATATCTTAGGGACCAGGGCTTGATTTGGCTCTTTGGAGGAAAACTTGACGTTCCCACGAGGGCACGCTGCTGTCACGTAAGTCGTACTATCATGGCCTCTTCTAACCTTGTTCTTGTCCCTCCCGCTTCTCTCCCCCTGACCCTGTCACTCCTTCTCTATATCTCCTCATTCTTTTTAAAGTGGTACGAATGAGAGGAAGGCAACGTCCCCCCCCTGGAGGCACCCAGCATCAGCTTCCACCCCTTCCTGTTCTTCTCAGAAAAGAAAGAAAAAACAGAGCGAGAGAGAGAGAGAGAGAGAGAGAGAGAGAGAGAGAGTGAGTGCAGCGTGGGGCGGTCGTGGGGAAACCCCTTGTCCTCAAGCCCGCTGAAAAAGGGGGAAAAAAGGAGCGCGAGAGGGGTGTGGAGAAGAGAGACGAGTGAGGAGCGAGAAGAAGGTGCAAACTCCCTTTTTTTCTTGTCTAAACAGAGAACGAGATAAGGGGAAAGCCAAGAGGCCCTCTCGCTCTCTCTCCCCCACGGTCTACGCTTCTCTCCATGCCCTGCGTTGTCTCATTCCCTCTCTCCTTCTGCAAATCTCTTGGAAGCTGATGCTCCTTTTTTTGTGGGCAGGTGCCTCCAGGGGAGGACGCTGCCTTCATCTCATTCCGCCTTCCCGTACCACTTTAACAGAAAAATGAGGAGATAGAGAGAAAAAGAGACAGGGTCAGGGGGGAGAGAAGAAGGAGGGACAAGAACAAGGTAGGAAGAACTTGTAAATTCCTCTTCTCTCTTCTCTTTTCCTCTTTCTTTTCCACAAGAAAGAAAATTAATATGGACTTGAGAAAGGGGAAGCTAAGAGTCAAGAGACCCTTTCTCTCCCACGGTCTATGCTTCTCTCTCTATGCCTCGCCGTGTCTCACTCCCTCTCTGCTTCAGCAAATCTCTGCTTTGTAGTTCACCCTCCTCCTCGTCTTCCAATTCTACAAGACATGCCGCCCATAAAAGCAAAAAGATGGAGAGAGCGAGCGAGAGAGAGAGAGAGAGAGAGAGAGAGAACGAGCGAGCGAACCGGAAGAAGAAAGGAACAAGGTAGGAAGACATGTAAACTCATCTTTAACAAGAAAAACTGATTGGGAGCATAAACTTGTCCAATTTTTTTGGAGGGCTGCGCCTGCGACTTGTCTTTTTGGGAGCACATTTTGCCAAAATCTTGGGGGGCGTGTTTTGGGAGCATCCCCTTCTCCAAAGTCTTAGGAAGACGGTGCTTGCGATTTGTCTTTTGGGAGCACAGAAAATCTTAAGTCTTCGGCCCGCTTTCTT